AGAAGGTGAAGGAAGGCACATCTTACATGGCTGCAGAAGAGAAAGAGAATGAGGAGGAACTTTCAAACACTTTTAAACCATCAGATTTCATGAGAACTCACTATCATGAGAGCAGCATGGGGGAAACCATCCCCATGATCCAATCGCCTCCCACAAGGTCCCTACCTCAAGACTTGGGCATTACAATTTGAGACGGCATTTGAGTGGGGACACAGAGCCAAACCACATCACCAACACATCTAAGAATTAACTTATCATTGTCAAACTCTGACCTCGACTTTCTATTTATTTTACTATTACAAGCTCTCCCCTTCCCATATATCCAGACTACTGATGCTCTGTCCCTTTTTTCTTCCTTTTTTGAGGAAGAATATTTTGTTGTCCAGATGAGAAGCAAATGTGTGGAATAATTGGGTTATTTCTCCAGACAGTAGAATGGGTCCTTAGGTAGCTAATGAAGTGTCTGAGCTGGCATCTGCATATTGAGAAGGAGTATGCAAGCACATTTTTAGTAACTTTAATGAGACTTCTGTACCCTTGACACTCAGAGCCAGGTGTATCAGACAAACTAGAAAAACAGCAAGAATACACACTTTATCCCAGAGAAGTTTGACCCAGAACAAAAGTCTCCAAATTTTCAGTGACATTGGAATAGGAAAGTCCAGCTCTTTGAAAATACAGTTAAAAGAGCACAGGGCCAATAAGTTATTTCTATTTCTCAATTTCTCTCCGTCAGCACTAAATATATCAGTTCTTCAAATTTATCTTAGCAAAAATATAAATAAATAAATGTTGATAATTCTTTAAGTATGAAATAAAGACAAAGTTTAGTTTTGACAATATGATACTTCTAACCCAAAAGAAAATATATGATTGTAACTGGGATAAATGAAGGTTTTATTGAAAAATTTTATTGTACAGAAATACTTTTCAGATTAATGAAGAGGAAAGGAAGCTAATATTTATAAAATGTCCCGTGTTTTAGACACTGTGCTATAATTTTTCTACAAAGCTGTAGTCAAGTACAATGAATTAGACACATAACAATCCAAATGCTAATGCAATTTTTAAAACTTGAAAAATAGTATACTTTAACTTGCTGCTTTTTTAATGAGTTATTGATTATAAAGTTGAAAAGAAAAAGTGATTTTAAGTGGTTGCAGTGAGATTGCTGTAGATGAGATTGCAGCTGATTTTCAACACTGAGGACTTATCAGAATCAGCAATCTTGATTGGAAGTCCAGGTTAAATATAAGACTGCATTTACAAAGCAGTGGCTTGTTGTGTCAGCCAAACTGTTACATTACTAACTCCTATTAACTTTTAGTTTGCGTGTGTAGAAGGTAGTGGATAAAAATAGTTTCATTTTATATAAAAGGAAGCATAGATACAGAGAAGCTAAATGGTTTTTATTTAACCTTCCACAGAAGATTGACTGATACTGAATTAAATTTAACTCCTGCCTACAGAAATTTATGGTCTGGATGTTACCCTTTTTCTACATGAAAATAAATTCTTATTAGGCTATCTGTGTAGTTTTAACTCTCAATTCCTGAGGATTAAGATGTTAAATACACCCACTACTCTTACCCCCTCCTTTCTTCCCTCTGCCCACAATCTAATCCATAAAGAAACTCAAGACCTTGACCTTCTGCAGTAAGACCTCATTATCCAGCAATGCTAGAATGAGTAAGGGGACCAAAACACAGATAGCAGTCCACTCAGTTAACACACACCATTTCTGAAATAGTGCTCCTTGCCATTATCAGAGAAGAAAATCAAAGTGAAAATATAAATCAAGGAAAGCAAAATTATTTTAACATTTAAATGGATTATTTTAGAATTTTGTAGGTATTATTATTGAATACAACCTAGTCCCCCCAAATTTATTGGGACAAACATCCCAATCATTTCAATATGAATTTCATCTAGGTAAGACTGGAAAAATAATGCATCAAATCTGCATGAATATCACAAGGGAGCAATGTCACCTTTGAGAGTTGTACCCTTCTCTACAGGCAGCAGGAGGGTTGCAAGAGGTCAGGTCTAGGAATCAGCACATGTATGGTTTGGTCTTAGCTCCACCCTCTCTTTATTACCTGGGGCTATCACTTGACTTGTTAGCGTTTCAGTATCCTTCCTCATCGGTAAAATGAATATATTCTTTGTAACTCCTTTAGAGGTGGCTCTCACTACCTTTGACTAAGGAAGAGACCAAGATGTGTGGCAGATCTGTATTGTATTGCATCAATTTAGCTAGACTGGAACCACATTTCCCAGAATCCCCTTCCCAGCATAGTTTCCCCTTAGTTTGGGCCACAAGAAGTTTAGGCAAGATTTGGAAGGTGGAAGTGATGTAGCACCATCTTCCCTTTTTATACCTGGAAGCTCAGGGAAGAACGTGAGGCACTGCTGCCTCTCACTCACAGTGTTGTTCGTCTGCCAGCTGGCCTGGATGGTGTGGAGCAGCAGCTAGGCCAGCCTCCAGAGCACCTACAGTCCCTGCTGGGTTGCCCTTCAGCTTCCTGGACTCCTGGGTCAGGGGCATGTTAAGCTTTATGATGAAGAGTCTGGTTTCACCTAGAGATACTTTAACGTCAAAATTGGAGGCTTTTAGGGGAGACATTGACAAGAGTTTCAGTTTATCCTTTTTGGTTACAGGTCATCAGTTCCTTGCTTCCTCCATTTCACATCCATTTGCCCTTCCCAAATGCCTGCCCTGCAGACTCCAGGGTGCAGCTTCAGGTACAGAGGAAATAGCATCACACAGACTTAAATCCCACAGTTGCATAAGGTTGAATCTCTACAATATATTATTTATCATATTTTATATATATATACACACACAGAGAGAGAGACATAGTGATAGACAGATATGTATTCATGTATGTGTACTATTGATTTTGCTTCTCCGATTGAATCCTGACAGATATAGTTATATCTGAAAAACATGGACCGTTGATCTGAATATTCTCAGCATCAAGCTTATTGCTTATCTTAGCAAGTACTCAACAAATTATTAAATCCAAAGTATTTATTTGGCAAACATCCAAACATTAAACAAACCTAGGGGTTTTTTTGTTTGTTTGAGACAGGGCATGTCACCCAGGCTAGAGTGCAGTGGCAAGATCTTGGCTCACTGCAACTTCCACCTCCTGGGCTCAGGTGATACTCCCACCTCAGCCTTCCAAGTAGTTGGGACTACAGATTTACGTCACCACACCTGACTAATTTTTGTATTTTTAGTAGAGACAGTGTTTCTCCATGTTGCTCATTCATGCTGATCTCAAACTCCTGGGCTGGGGTGATCTGTCTCCCAAAGTGTTAGGATTACAGGCATGAGCCACTGTGCTTGGCCATGTATTTTTAAAAATGCAATGATCACCAAAAATAAACAGCAACTAGCTAATGAATGGTTTTCCTTGAGAATTTATTTGTCAGACAAATTATCTAAGAAAAGTTTTCTGCCTTAATCAGATCAACTTATATATAAGTTTGCTATGTCTTGTCTGGTTCTTTGATATAAAATTAAAACTTGTAAAATTTAAATATAAAAATACTTTATTTAATTTTTTATTTTTAATGAAACAAACAGGAAGCTGTTTGTAGCCAGTTAGTGGTGATTATTTCAGATTATAAATAAATATTTGTAATGAGATAAAAATAGCAAACACATTTGAAGTGGATAATATTCTTATTTATAAGTGGAATGTTATTACTTTTTTATTCTCAAAGATAAACATAGTTACTGGTTTCAATGGTGATTGCAAAGCTAAAACCAAGTTAATGTTAACTGAATTTTTACCAAAAAGAAAATATAGGCATATTTTTGAAATTTTTGAAAACTGTAGAGATCTTTATTGGCCTCAAAAATATTTCTCCCGTTTAAAATCATCATGTCATATAATATGACTCTGCAAAAGAAATAACTCTAATGGAGTACCAATGACTTAGAAAGTCAAGGAACTGGAGCTAGATACAATCTTGGGAGTGGGGTAGCCACTGGGACCTTGAGGTACAGAAAGTCAAGGGACTTATAGCCAGGCAGGTAGGACATCACAAATAGAATGTTAGTAAGCAGGGCCCCAGTACTTGGAGGGATGTGAGAAGAAGATGATGTAAAATTGATGCAATTTCTGGACCAAGATTGTAGGCCATGAGTTCAGGGACTGGATTATTCATTAATCTGTTCCCTATATTTTCCCTTCCTCTTGTTTCTCTGGAGCCATGTTTATATCTAAACCTGGCCTAAATCGGCAATCACATTGTTATGTTTAGTTATGTTCCAGCCCATAGTTCTTTCCAGAATTAGAGTGAAAGGACCTTATACATTCACTACACATGGTGAGAGGTGACAATGTGCTAGCAGCCCTCACTCTTGGCGTGCACCATGCCTGAGCCTCCCCAACAAGCACCGCCCCCTGTGCTGCGGTGCCTGGTCCCATCAAACGCCCAACGGCTGAGGAGTGCGGCCACACGGTTTGGGACTGGCCCTCAGCTCCACCTGCTTCCCAATGCAGGATCCACTAGGTGAAGCCAGCTGGGCTCCTGAGTCTAGTGGGGACTTGGAGAACTTTTATGTCTAGCTAGAGGATTGTAAATGCATCAATCAGCACTCTGTGTTTAGCTCAGGGATTGTAAACGCACCAGTCAGCACCCTGTCAAAACGGTCCAATCAGCTCTCTGTAAAATGGACCAATCAGCAGGATGTGGGTGGGGCCAGATAAGGGAATAAAAGCAGGCTGCCAGAGCCAGCCGCAAGGGTTGCCTTCCACACTCTGGAAGGGTTGTTCTTTTGCCCTTTATAATAAATCTTGCTGCTGCTTTGTCTTTGTGTGCACGCAGCCTTTATGAGCTGTAACACTCACTGTGAAGGTCTGCAGCTTCACTCCTGTCAGACCACGAACCCAACAGAAGGAAGAAGCTCCAGACATATCTGAACATCTGAAGGTGCAAACTCCAGACATACCATCTTTAAGAACTGTAACACTCACCACAACGTCCCAGCTTCATTCTTGAAGTCAGCAAGACCAAGAACCCACCAATTCCGGACATAATGGCATCTCATGGATGTATCACAGCATCTCAAATTCAACATGTTCAGATCCTGTTTTGGCGAGATCCTCTTCCTCTTTTCTGCATTCCTTCACTCATCTATTGTTTCTATTAAACATATGCTGAATGCCAACCAGGTACCAAATCCTAGAAATGTAGCAACAAATTAGAAGGTCCCAGGCCACAAGAAATTTAGTCTGGTGCAGCAGTTTGGAACTCTAGCTACAAAATGGGATCACCTGGAGAATCACTATGTTGATTTCTTTAAATAGAAATCCTGCTGGGACTTTGGTTGGAATTTAAATTAATCTATAGATAAGTTTGGAAAGAACTGGTAATTAACAATAGTCTTCGAATCTATGAACATGACATATCTCTTATTTAAATCTTTGATTTATTTCATGGGTGCTTTTTAGTTTCTGCATACCGATCTTGAATGTTTTTTGTTAAAGTTATTCATAAGTATTTCACGGTTTTGGTTCTATTGTAACCAGACTTTTAAATTTTAATTTCTAAATATTTATTGATAATGCATGAAAATATTACTGGTTTTTAAATAGTAACCTTGTATACTGAAGCCTTTCTAAATTCACTTATTAGTTTATGGATTATTTGGGATTTTTTGTAGAGGAAGTCATATTGTCTGTGAATAAGGACAGTTTTATTTCATCTTTTTTATCTGTATGAATTTTATTTCCTTTTTCTTGCCTACTGCAAGGACCTTTATTACAATATTGCACAGGAGTGGGGAGCGTGGATAGCCTTACCTTGTTACACATGTAACATTGGTAACGGTTTTCAGGAAGATATCCTGTAGACGATTTTGAGTAATCAAATGAATATTTTAGGAGGGGGACTCCATTTGTAGGGTGAAAGGAGAGTGGAGTTTAGAGTGAGATATACTGGGCTTAAAAGCTGGCTCTCCCATTCACCAGATTTCTAGCCTTAAATGACTTAATTGTAAAATTGAGGAACTAATACTTATTTCACAGATTTTCATGAGACTTAACAGAGATAATGTATAGAAAGAACCTGGGATAGTGCCTAGCATCTAAGAATGTTCATACAATCCCATCTCTACCATACAAAGTTATCTCTACTTTGTGACTTTTTAACCTCTCCAGGCCTCAAGTTTCTCATTAGTAAAAATAGATGTAAGTTATAATGCCCACTTCTAAGGGTCATTGTGGGGATTAAATTATGAATTTAAGCAGAGTAAATAACACACTGCCAAAACAGATGAGGTACTATATAGATGTTAACTACGATTATCAGCATCATTGTTGTTACCATTATTACAATGCTAGCTCACTTCAAGATTGGTTATTTATTGCCGCATAAGAAACCACTCTAAAAATCTGTGGCTGAAAAATAAAAATCATTTACTTGCTCATGATTTTGTAATGGGGAAAAGTCTGTGCTTTGCATAATATAGGCTGGAGAACCCATGATAACTTCACAGTCATGTCTGGGGCCTCCACTGGGTTGGTCAAGTGGCTATGGCAAGGCTGAGCTTCTCTTTCTTTGTAATCTCACATCATCCATGGCTTTTCTCCACATAGCCTTCCTCTTCAGTGCAGTAGTGTAAGATTTTTAAATAGTTGCTCTGGGCTCTGAGAGGGCAAACACAAAAGCTACAAGGCCTCTTAAGGTATACGCTTGAAAAATCTCAGAATGTGATTTCTACCACATTCTGACATTTAAAATGAGTTACTAAAGCCAGTCAGATTTAAGGAAAAGGAAATAAACCCATCTCTTGATGAAGGATAGCAAAGTCACCTTGTAAACTTACGTAACTCATGTGGCCATCTTTGGAAAAAATTTACCTCAATTTTTGCACACTCCTTTGGGAATAGCCTCAGTTAACTATGGTCACAAGTATATTCGCATTGGACCAACAAATCTCAAAAATACCTTCCAAGTCAGCTGTCGACTCAAACTGTTATGTAGCAATGTGTAGGCAAGGGCTTCTCTGTGTGCTACTGCAGGGTCCTGCCAGGTGGGCTGGCTGCATCTTGGCAGGAAGGCCTCTGGATGTGGACTTTGAATTTTTTCCTACTGAGCACAACTACAGCCTCATTTATTTAATGGCCATCAAAGTCTTTGTGCTAATTGACTGTCTTTGCTGGCCGTGAATAAAGGACTCACACCTGAAGAGAAGAGACTTCTTAAAAGAATGCAGACTTCTTAAATATACAATTGCAACTGTGGTTTCTCAGTACAATTATCAGTTTCTTGTTTATTTTTAAAGCATGTAAATTATCTGTATTTGCAAAACTATCTTGATGTATTAAAGTTGGCGATTTTACTACTAAAGTAATCATTTCAGGTCTGTCCACAGTTCTATTTTGATAAGCAAAACTTGGCATGCATACCCTTCCAGGCTCAAAATGTAATTCCTACTGGGGAGCTAAAATAAGGTTTCCACCTGGCCACTTTAAAAATTAAATGATTTTTAAAGTGTTGTTTTTCTACGATGTCCAAGCAGATCTTGGCAAGACTCGGAAACGCAGCTGTTCTTTTCACCATGTCAATGTTACTTAATTAATCCATGAGGGCTAGACTTCCTGTAGTTACTACTGATCTTATCCAGCACCCTGTTTGAGGCCAACATCAGCATTTTGCAATATTACCCTCTTCTCTCCCCTCCTAATAAATCCAACTTCTAAAGTATTAGCAATGTCAGCAGGATTCACAGAATGTTACTTAACAGGTCAACAAAACTTTCAATTCCCTCTCCTTAGACCTATGATCTCTTCTCTGTGAAAGTTCTCTCACTACTAGAACCCTATGTCTCCACTCTGCTTTCTTGAAACCACTTTATTCTCACAAGCAATCCTAAACTTGGATACTCTACTCAACTAAACTAAGCCTTCTATGACTGGTTTTCCTCATCCCCTTTCTCCTAGAAAAGCAGCTATGGGATTATAAATGTTTATAGGGTGGGTTCAGTAAAAAGAAGTTCCTTCCCATCTATCCCCATTCACTTCATCGAAGATTTCACTGAACAAGGCAAATCTTGAGGCAGAGAGAGAAAAGTAGGGTGGGGAGTGTTAAGGAGCAATAAGGAGCTCTACTTGTAAGAAAAATAAAAAGCAACAATCTGTTATGGGAAAGAACTTCTTTTTATCCTTGATTTTTCCATTCATCTATCAGACTCTTGCCCCTCAGATTATCAAGTACAAAAATAAAATGTACCGTTGCCTGGCCAAAACAACCAACCATGAAGTTTGATTTAAACATGTCACCTTCTACCATGAATCCAGCACTAAGCAAGGCAGAGGAGGTGCAGCCCAATTCTCTTTCCATCTGAAAACTATCAACTTTCTAGAGACTCCCAGATATGTGATTTCTAGAGAGCAAGATAGTACAGGAAAAAATTAGGCACATAACAGGTTATTAAAAGGTGAAAGCTATAAAATTCAGAAAAGCCAAGTGCTCAGAATCAACTGGGGCAGTCAGAAAAGGTTTTGAGATCTGACCATGCTGGAGTGGTGACATCATGGCCCAGACAATGTATTTTTAGTAGATAAAAAGTTTGGGGTTGGCAGGTGTTTTTGTTTCTGTTTTTCATTATTTTGAAGCCATCAACTCATTACCCTCTGGCTTGCAGAGTTTCTGAAGGAAGTCTGCTGTAATTCTAACCTTCATTCTTCTCTATGAATTTCTTCTCTAATACGTTTCTCTAAGATTTTTTTTTTTTTAAATTTCTGCCAGTTTTCAAGTTTTTTGTCTATCCTTGGTTTTTAGGTGTTTGAGTATAGTGTATCTAAATGATTTTGGGGGGTATTCATCCTGAATGTGGTTAATATTCTTGGGTCTATGGTTTGATATATTCTATTATCCTTGAAAAAAATCTCAACTATTATGCCTTCATATATTATTATACCCTATGCTCTCTCTTTTCTTCATTGCAGATTCCAATTACACCTATGTTAGCCTGTTTGATATTATCTCAAACTCCTGAATGCTCTGTTTTTTATTTCTTTCACTCTTTTTTCTCTTTGAATTTCAGTTTGAGTAATTGATATTGGCCTATCTTCAAATTCACTAATTCTTTTCTAAGCTGTATCAAGGCTACTGATGAAAGCATTCTTCATCTCCATATGTTTTGTTTCTAGCATTTTCATTTGACTCTTTCCCATATGCTCCATCTCTTTACCAAAATTTCCAATCTGCTACTGCATGTTTCTACCTTTTCCATATTAAAGCATCTAACATGTTAATCATACGTATTTTAAACCTCCTATCTGATAGTTTCAATATCTAGATCACCTGTGAGTCTAGATGTGTTCATTGCTTTGTCTCTTCATGAGGGCTTTTGTTCCATTGATTTCTGTGTATCTCATAAATTTGTGATTGTGAGACATAGTGTGTCTAACAGTGAGCCTAAGGAAAATAATAGTTATGCCTGGAAAGTTGAATAAATTTAATTAAGAGCTGGCTTTTTAATTTATTATTATTGCCATGGTTACCTTCAGTGCATCATCAGCTTCAAATTCCTCTGGCATTATCTTTCACTTTTTATTAATATAATTGAGTTGCTTGCCATTTCTAAACCAATTACTAGCAAGGAAAGTGGAATTACCATGACTGATTTAGACTAGCAAGTGGGAGTAATTCCCTGAGTCCATGGATGTGTCCAGATTCCCAGCAGCATTTAGCTATTCAGTTTCCTAAGAATGCCATGGTTTTGTTAGTAAAGAGAAAGAGAGAAATGACTAATAGGTATACAGTCAACTTTTAAGTTTATGCCAAGACTAAAGCATGGTGACTTTTGTAGATCACCTTAACTCTTACGTTTACAACTGCATGTCTGGCCTTAAGAACTTGCCACTCTGATGACAAGATGGAGAGCTAAACCTAAATAAGAAGTTTTCTTCCTGCTTCGCCTCCATACCTCACATTATGGGACAGAGCCCCTGATCCACCAGCACCACCTGAGGGTCTGGAAACCACCCCAGCGATGGAAGAGGACCAGGAGCTGGAGAGAAAAATATCTGGATTGAAGACTTCAATGACTGAAGGCGAGAGGAAGACAGCCTGGAAATGGTCCAGGCAACTGGAACAGATAGACACTGTGTGACATTGTATTGCACGAGGAAGACCATACCCTAGGAAATTCTCTACATTACATGATCATGAAG